TGTGTACTAATTCAAAGACTATATACTAGTGAGTATAGGGGAAGGGTTTTCAAAATTTGCTATGTGTTCAAGTAGAAAATGTGCTGTTTAATTTATCTGCCAGGACACATTACTCATTACTACTTTGTACAAGTACAATCTAAGAACACATTTACTCACGGTATCAATATTTCAAAAGGTGGAAAAGACTATTTATAAACATGAACAATGGTGTCCCGTGATTCATTGGTGCAAACTCGGGGAGTGACTTGTTAACCATCATTCAAGGTTACGTTCACCCATTCCAAATATATGCAGACAAAAGGGTCGGTCCCTGCTGGTCACGACATCGGCCATAATCGACTCACCGGTGCAGGGATAGCAAACGTACAATGCTATATTATTCCGTTGCCATGCAACCTAATTACTTTCGCATTATGTAATGAACTAATTATACGACTTGTTAGCAATAAATCAACGTGTTAACTGCCATTCATTGTAATTTTGGCATGCCGTTAATTAGTTTGTATACTCCTTCACATGAACGTGTCGTTGGGGTTAATAGACTGACCACACTCACTCATGTACGACGTTTTGCATCTTTTAGAGAAGCCACTGACTGTGGTCTTCAAAAATATTTTATGATTAGTATCTAGCATGCAGTATTATCTAATTAGCCGCCATGTATATCCATCAATGCAAAATGTGGATAATTTAGCTGTTATGTTTTTCGCTAATTCAGATTAATCAACACAGCAAATCGAGACTGTACACGCACCTAACCTAAATTCCGCTTCTCATAATTCGGGCATTCAGTTAGCAGATTTCAGTATCATGTGGTAGTCCGAGTACGGCAACACTCTACTCAGCCTCGTTCGTAGCCAGTCGCGCAATTATCACTGAAATCGTTGTCCAAATATATATCTATCATACCACTGCCCGGCTGGTAAATTAAAACATCGCTAATTCTTTAAACATGTGCATGCACTTGACTACTTTTCTTGTCTGTACGCACGATACGGTGGTTGTAATTAATCATTAATTAATTAATTAATTAATTAATTAATTAATTAATCATTGTAGTCACTGTTAGTTGTGGGTGAAATATTTTTGTTCGGTGGATGATTTTATTTTAAATGGCAAATATTAGTAATAACTCTGGGCACAGCATTTGTCTGTTTATGTTCAACTGTCGTAATGTCCAAATAGCAATCTTCTACTTATGTACTATACGTACTTATACATGTACTTATTTTAGGGTTTAATTGTTTATTCTAATTAGTCATATATATATGAATAACGGCAAATACCCCCCCCCCTAAATAAACAACTTAAAAACAATATATAAAATGTGGAAATTAAAAAGAAAAAATTAATTTGGGTTTTAATTACACTTGCTGTGAATACACAGCGGGTTTAGTGTGTTTTAGGATTCAAGTTCGCATCCCTTTACATTGTATAGTACCATTGAATCATTGTAATTATGTCAACAGACAACAACAAGTGTTTACACGTGTCTGAGGTTCTTCTACAAAACGAATACTGTAATAAACTTATCACATCGTCAGTTACAAAGGGTTTTGTGCGGGGTTATCAACCGCATCGATATGACTGTGCTCACAGCACAGACATTCCATGACATGCAACAGATTCCGTGGCGCATCTAAAAACTGCAACAATAGTCTACGGTTAATTGCAAACATTCCGCCCCACCTGTTCACACCATCAACGTTATTACTACAGTGACCTGGCGACACGCATATAACCGCCATCTGTGTATTGGGTGAGTACTTTGAGTGGATATAGAGATCATCAAATTACTAACCCAATACATATATTAAACGACAGAACGTTATGTCGACGCCACCGACCAATTTAATATATTGTGGAAAAGAATTGGGATAAACCAACAACAAATAATAGATTTGTCTTCATCACGTTTATATTGCCCTACGTTTCATCCAAATTAACATATAAAACACCGTCCACCAGAATTTAAAACTAAATGGATACATGAATGCACTTAACCTAATAAATAAGACTAACAAATATATCAAAACGTGTTTGATTCAGAAATGTCTCAAAATTATCAATTGGGACACACATTATCATTTTCTCCCTCTACAAAATTCGTGTTTGTAGAAAAACTGTACAAAAATGCACATTTTTAGAGATTTTTTTATTGGCATTCAAGTTAAAGCTTATTTCGCCAAAACTAAAGAAAATTTCTCAACAATTATTATCAGCCATCTTATTACAACACATGAATTTTTTCACCAATTTCTAGAAATGATGAAAGCTTTTTACCATAGAAAAAACGATGATAAATAGTCCATTTTTTTTATTTATTTTATTAATGGCAGCCAACTTATACTTCAAGCAAATTATATTAAAACACATTCACAGAATGAATTTGTATGATTAATAAAATTTAAGACATACTGTTCAGCGTAACATGTTTTGGAAATTATAATCGTGCGTTTCTAGTTTTTGTAACTCTAAATTCGTGCGGCTAATGAACATTTATTACTGGATTTTTTTTGTTATATAAATATTCTCTAGTATTAAATAATACGGAGCTAGCGTTAGAAAAATTACTGCATATGGAAAGACTGCATTAAAGATCTAGACATTATTTTTGCCTGGATGGTTCGGTAAAAGTGAACGGTTGTATTTTTAAAATGCGTTTAGTTTTTCTCAAACAAGAGTTTGTACAGAAATCGCGACTGTAATTATGCAATTATATGCTTTATATGTTATTTTTCTAGTCATGCCCCCCCCCCGAGAAACATTCGAGTCGTGTTCGTCATAAACGAATCTATTACAAACGATTGTACACCCAATGATGACAAACAAATAACAAAGGTGTCAGTTTGTCTGCGTCGCCATTGCTGTGCTTAAAATAACTCACATGTGTACTATTCGTTTTTTGTTCTTGTTTTTAGGGGGTGAAATTGTACGACGTAATTTACCGTCCGACAAAAGAAAGTAATCTTAAAAAAAAAAACATTTATAGGACTCTTATTCATTCGCTCATGCCACCATGACGCAGTGACGATAAAAATGACAACGCCTTTTATTTATGTTATAGTTATATGGCAGCCGCATAGACTTACATGGTGAAGTGTCATTCATGATGACACACTAATAAAACGCCCACGCGTTATAGTCCGCCAACCAACCCACCCGACATATTCCAGACTCCAGAACTTTCTGTAAGTTACCTGTGTGAGCGTAAATCGATGAAGAGTTTAGTAGTGGGTTGTTATAGGAACATGTTGGGGGGGGGGGGAATTAAACAGCGTAACATTGTAGGTTATTTCACATGGTCGACTTGGGATGGTCTCTATGGAAATAACAATTCTAGGATTTCTCTATAGCCTCATACTATATAGTATGTGGCGGCCATTTTGGATTG